CTGGGGAAGGGGAGCACAGGCCCGTGGGGATCCAGAGGTGGAGGCTAGTGGGCCGGCAGCCCTAATGTGTGGATCCGGCGACCCGCTCACTCCCCGTCTTCTGAGCAGCCGGGGCCCACCGTGCCCTGACCCCTCCCTGGCCGGAGAAAGGAAGTGGGGGGCAGGGTGCTGCCCTTCAGGACTCGGGGTCACTCCTCGAGAAGACGGAAACGTGGGAGAGCACAGGCCCCCTTCCGAGACGACTCTAAATGGTCCCTTTCTTCTCAGCCCTCCCTGGGTGTAAGCAGAGGGCAAATCCATCACACACCCACTCGTTCAGGGACGATGCCTCTTCCTTTTCATGAGCAAACCACTCACTCCTTCCTCCCTTCCTTCCTTCCATTGCACGTCTGTGTCTGCACGTCTGTGCCCACACCTCTGGCAGACCAGGTCCCCAAAGCAGGAGGTGGTGGTCTTGGTTGGAGCCACAGCAGCCATGTGTGGGCTCATGAGGCCCTCCCCAGTGTAACCCGGCCCTGGCTCCCGAAGCCCAGGCTGTGTGGGGATCCCACACCCTGGGCTGCCCCAGACGGGCACTAGATCTGAACGGCAGGGCCGGGGCAGTAAGTGGGGGCCTGGCAGAGGCAGCTGTGTCTCAGGAACAGCGGAGTCCCAGCAGCTGGCACTGGGGCAGCTCCTCTGGGCTTCATGACCTGGGATGGGGCCCCTTCCCTCTCCCAGTAACAGTGTCCACGTCTGTACAACATAAGCACTCCCTTGGGTGGGGCAGCAAGGAAGGAGGCTCTGCGGGCCGGACAACTGGATGGAAGAGGTGAAGGAACACTGCAGGTGCACAGGCATCTCCTCTCCAGGTCCCCAAAGCCCCGTGACCTGGCAGAGCCGCCTCGAGCCGTGACCACCTAGCAGTCAGCTGCCTCCACACCTGGCCTTTCAGATCCTTGTCAGCAAGGCCCTCTGGCAGGCACCGGCCCCATCCAGAGCCAGAAGGATGGTCCCGCCTGGCATTCCGCTGGGCCACAGGCCAACACCGTGGCAGGGCCTTCATTACTGCCTCCTCCCAGGCCCTGAGAATGGGCCCCCCAGGAGCTGGGTCCACACTGGGTCACAGCAGCAGCATCCCTCCCGCACAGGCACAGACCTCCCTCCTTGATCCTCACAGAGGAAATAAGGAAACTAAGCTGAGTGCCACATCCAGAATCACACTGCTGACAAGTGGGAAGGCCGGGATTTGAACTCAGGTCTGTTCCGTTCGCTCCGGGAGAGGACCAGGGAGCCAGCTAGTGCCAGCTACCAAGACGATGCATTTCCTTTCCTCACGTTGGCTTTCTGTCACTTTCAGTCATCAAGTGTCCTGATGATAGAAAACTGGCAAGAAACTGCACCTGGTGGGGGAGGCCTGTGCCCTGGGAAGAAACTCCACCCCAGCCTGGCCCCGGGCCGCCCCTCGGCCCCCTCAAGTGCATAGAGGCTGAGCACCCACGAAGCCACCCAACATAGAGGAGACCAAGAGGAACAGAGCCAGAGCCCCGGACCCCCGGGGAGGGGAGGGTGCCCGGCTGCCATTCCCAGTTCTCCTTACAGCCATTCTCCAAAGGGACACTGCACCCCTCACTTACGCGGCTCCCCTCAACGTCAGGGAAGTGAGAGCTCGGATCCAGCTGGGGGCGCGTCTCCTCACTAGGGGACACTAGGGGAAGGGCCCTGGCCGCGAGGGTCGTGACCTCTGAAGGGGAACGACACAGGGACTTTGCAGGCAGTGGTGAGGATTTCTCTAGGGGATGGAGTCATCGTACACCTGGGAGGGGCGTGTGCAGGGGCCGTGCCCATGACCACCATGTCCTGAAAACCGGCCACGTGAGCACGGCACGTGGACATTCTGGCCACACCACTGTCTGGAGGCCCAGAAACGCACTGGACTCTGACGCCACCCTGAGAAATCTCCCCGTCTGGCCAGATTAAGAGGAGGCGACAGATCCCCATAACAACAGTAAGTGTGTGTGACTCCATCGAGCCTCCGGCCGTCTGGCTCCTGCCTGACCCGGAAGCACGTGGCTGGAGGTGAGCTCCTAAAGAGAAGGTGGGGGCAGGGGCCAGGTGGCCTGGGCCAGGCATGGGGTGGCCTGAGCCAGGCGGGTACAGGGGAGGCATCTAGGCAGCTGCACCAGGCACAGGCAAGCAGGGACAGGCTGGCCTGAGCACCGCACGGGATCTGTGAGTCACCAGCGTGACCGGGTGGCAGGTGCGTGAGCAGGGCCAGGGGCCAGCACACTGGGGTAGGGGCCTCCCAGCCCCTCTCACACGGTAACTCAGTGTCTCTGGGCGAGGGGGTAGAAGGCTGCAAGCCCCCTCTGAGGCTGCTGAGCCCACCACTCTGGGAACCCCAGGGGAGGCGTAGGGCCCTCCTTCCTGCCCTGCTGTGAGGTGAAACCATTAGCCCCCAGGTTCAAGGTCTGGGCGCCCTTATTGGCACAGGGTGGTTATCCTGGGGTCCTCTTCCAAGAGTGCCTATTTACTGGCTTTCCCCCCATTTCAACCAATCAGGCACCTGGAGTCATGGCCTGGTAGGTCTCTGGGGCCTTTGCACACGTATCAGGAGAGCAGCAACGGGGTGGGGGAGTGCAGCAGCCGGGAGGAAAGAAACGGAGGCGCCCTCAGCTCCCGTCCCCACCCCCCCCCCCCCGCCCCGCCCAAGCCAGGAGTGAACCCAAACAGTTCAGATTCCACGGCTCAGGGCTCAGTATCATTCCTAGAATGCTTTGAAGTTATCGATACTTTTTGCCCTTACCTGACCTACAATTGGAAATAACAAAATATATCATTTCCTACTTTTTGTTTGTTCCAAACGTACTCTCAGGCATCAAGAATTCTCCCCACTTAACCAAAGTTCTACCGTGTCCAGCTTATGTTACTTTTTTAAAATAATTGATTAATTAATTTGTTTTTGGCTGCATTGGGTCTTCGTTGCTGTGCGGGGCTTCCTCTAGCTGTGGCGAGCGGGAGCTGGTCTTCATTGTGGGGCTCGGGCTGCTCTCTGCCGTGGCTTCTCTTGTTGCGGAGCACAGGCTCTAGGCGTGCGGGCTTCAGTAGTTGTGGCACACGTGCTCAGTAGTTGTGGCTGGCAGGTCTAGAGTGCAGGCTCAGTAGCTGTGGTGCATGGGCTTCGTTGCTACGCGGCATGTGGGATCTTTCCTGACCAGGGCTCGAACCCGTGTCCCCTGCGTTGGCAGGCAGATTCTTAACCACTGTGCTACCAGGGAAGCCCCGCTTATATTACTTTTAATGTTTGTCTTTTCTCAGTAGCTTATGATTATTTTTTATTGATTTAAATAAAATAATTCCTCCCCCTCATGCATCTTTCCATCCAGAAGAATCTTAATATTTCAGTCTGTCATCTTTTGTAGATAACTGTTTAGTGCTTACTGTGGGCTAGTTTTTGGACTGTATGTAAAAACATTGCACATGTTAATTTACTTCTCACCACCGCCTTACAGGGCATGTATTAGCTCATTTTTGCATTCATTTAACACATATTTATTGAGAACCACTGTGTACCAGGCACTGAACTAAGTCCTAGGAATATATAGCGTGTCCTCTTGAGGAAATTGAGGCTCAGGGAGGTTAAATTACCTGCCCCAGATTATATAGCCTGAGAGTAGATCTGGAACTAGACTCCAGGTTTGTTGGGCTCCAAAGCTTGTGCTCTTAATCACTGTAGTTACGGCTGCCTGGTAGTGTTGTCTGGGTTGCACACTGCTCAACTCCAGGGGGAGCCATTCACATTGCAGTCTATGTGAAAACATCCTCTAGAGTTGTGCAAGGCAGCACTGCCCCCCCCGCCCCGGTCGGTCTCTCACCTCACTTCCCGCGGCCCGCATCCCCATCCTCTGCCGCTGCCAGCACTGTCCACCCGCCCTGCACGGTCCCCCGCCGCCTCACTCACTGTCACGCTCTCCTCAGCCCCCAGCAATATGACCTGTTGGCGGCCCGACGCCATCCCTTCCCCAAGAGGTCACCTGCCACCGCCCAGCGGCCCAAGCCAACGGACAAGCTTCTGCCCCCCTCGCTCGCTTCTCGAGCATCCAAAGCATCACGTGGAGGGGACACAGAACCCGCTGACGATCTCCAACAACTAACTCGTTGGTTGCCTCTACGCAGGAACGGGCGCGCGTGAGGTCTGGACTCTTGGCTAGTTTGCTACGCACAGCGCCCCACTCTCTCCTCCACAGAAACAACCAAGCGTGAGCTGGAGCCGCGGGAGAGGTGGCTGAAACGGGCGCGGGGCCGAGGGGCCGTAAAGGGGTGCAGCCCAGGTGCGGGCGGGGCACAAAGGGGACCAAGGCCGTGGAAGCGGACGCGCCAGGCACGCGGCCAGGGTGCAGGAAGGCACGGCCTGAGCCGAGGAGAGAGAAAACGGGAGGGACGCCGACTTCGGCTGGGGGCGGGGAAGCCCCTGATAGGCGCGCGGAAGGCGTGATGTCACGTCCGGCGGGGGAAGCCCTGCCTCAGCACCCCCGCCCCCGCCCCCACAGGTGGTGCCGCCGCCCCGGGCACTGGGAGTGGAGGGCCCGCCCTCGAGGACCCCGGACACGGCCCGCGCGCTCCGGGCCACCCCGCGTCCCTCCAGCAGTCAACAGATCCGCGCGAGCCGGGCGGCCCTGGGAGCAGGAGGGGCGCCCCGCGCGCCTCGGATCGCGCCCCCGCGCCGCGCCCCGCCCCGCCCCTGCGCGCCCCGCCCCGCGCGCCCCGCCCCGCCCCTCTCCCGGGCGGCCGAGGGGCCGGGCCGGGACTGCGCGCTCGCCTGCCGCGCTCTGGGCCGCCGGAGAGAGCGGCCGGACCTCGCGCCCCGCGCGCCCCGCGCCCAGCCGCCGCCGGCTTTTGTTGTCTCCGCCTCCCCTGCCGCCGGCGCCTCCGGACCGCGAGCCGAGTGCGCCGGGACCTTGGCTCTGCCCTTCGCGGGCGGGGGCTGCACGGGCCCGGCCGGGGGCGCCGCCGGCCCCGCCATGGAGCTCCGGGCCCGAGGCTGGTGGCTGCTGTGCGTGGCCGTCGCACTGGCCGCCTGCGCCCACGGGGACCCTGCCAGCAAGAGTCGGAGCTGCGGCGAAGTCCGCCACATCTACGGGACCAAGGGCTTCAGCCTGAGCGACGTGCCCCAGGCGGAGATCTCGGGTGAGTGACCCGGCGCTCCCGCGTCTCCCCTGCGCCCCCTTCTCTCTCCCGTTCTGCCCTCGTCCGCCCTGCGCCTCCGCGCCCCGAGCCGCCTTCCCTCCGCCCGGGTCTCCTCTGCTCCGCTCGGCCGCCCCCCGGCCCCCAACACGCACACCGGCCCCTTCCCCGCGGAGCTCTCCTCGCCGGGCGGCGGACCGGGCGGTCCCTGGCTCGGTGCGTCCTCCGGGACAGGCAGGGCTGAGCTGCGGGGCCGGCTGTCGGGGCGCAGCCGACGGCGGCCATGGGCTGGGGACTCCCACCGGCTGTGCGGCCCTCTCCGGGAGGCGCCTCGAGTCGGTCCGGGGATTCCCGGGGGTCCCCGGCAGAGGCAGCCTAGGGGCCCCGGGGAGGTCGGGAGCGAACTGTGCGCTCGGGGAGGGGCGGGGGCGAGGGTGGAGAGGCTCGACCTCTGCCACCGGGAAGGGAACATCACCTCGCAGGGATTCCTGCCCAGGGAACTTGTGCTCGCCTGGCACTCAGGGCCGCCTCGGGCGGGGAGTCCAGCTGCAGGTGGTCGGCGCCTTGGATCCCGCCCAGGGGCCGTGTCATTTCTTTGTAAGAGCATCGCCGTCTCAGGCGGCCTCAGCCCTGCAGCTGCCCGCAGTCCTGCCCACACCCTCCCTGCAGGCCTCTGAGGAGCTTTGGGGACTGGAGTGAGGGTGGAGGTCTAAGGATTTCACAGATACCCCCCAGGCTTTTTCCTCCAACTGCAAACGTGTCCAGAACCACCGTGGGTCTGCGCGTCTGTTCAGGGTGCCTGGGACACGGTGGACGAGAGCGGAGCAGACCAGCTTCCTGCCCTGGGGAACTCCTCCCAAACTGGGGCGGGGGTGGGGAGGGGGCATTCGAGTAGTGACACGGGGGACATGGAATGACCACAGCCACAGGAGTTCTGAGCGAGAGAGGAGTGTGAGGGGCAAGTCCATGGCCGTGTCTTGCTGGGGAATGGGAGGGGGCAGCCAGGTCCTGGACCCTGGCCCCCAGCAGGGCAGGACCCACAGAAGCCTCTGCCTTGATACCTTGACAGACCCCTGCTCCGGGTTCAAGTCCCCCAAGGTAGGCCTTCCTGTGCCTCTGTCTGCTGGCAAAGCCCTGTCATCGTCAGGGCTGCCACCCTCCCTAGGGGACAGGTTTTGGGAGGCACATCTGGGTGCCTGGGGCCAGCACACGTTGGTTCATAAGCCCCGCCACCCGCCATGCAAACAGAGGAGCTAATGCCCGGGAATCCCTGGCCTTTCGGTTGAATCCCTTGCCCTGGGCCCTGGACACCAGGGTCTCAGGGCAGCTGAGCGGCTGCCCTCACCCAGCCCCGATCTTAGACGGCACTCCAAGGTCCCCTCGCCGCACAGCTCTCCTTCACACGTCCACTCCCACTCGGCCGCTGTGTCCTCGGGACCATCCTACACTTGATCGCATCCACAAGCCTCTGTCCCGGTTAGGCTGAGAGACAGAGTGGCAGAGTCTGGGCAGCCGTCAAGGGCTGGGAGAGAGCAGGGCAGGCTGGAGAAGGTGAGGCGGGGCCGGCAGGGGGCTGGGTCTTGGCCTCCTGGGGCTGGGGCTGCAGTGGGTTGGGGACCCGGGACCAGCAGAGTGCCTTGCTGTGCACGTGACGGAGCGGGGGGTGTATGGCCGCCCAGCAGCTGTCCGAGCACCGTGCCAGCTAGGGCTTCAGGTGCTGCCCCCACCCCAGGGGCCTGGACTGCACCCCTTCCCGACCAGTGCCCATGGCTCCTCCGTCCCAGATCCAGGGGCTTCTGGGAAGCTGCTCTCCCCGACCCCCTATGGCTTCAGCCTCCCCCGTAAGCACCTGAACTGGAGAGTGCCCTGCAGGGCCCAGGCACCGAGGAGAGTGCCGGTGCCACGTGGGGTGAAGGAAGCAGGGTGACCTCCCAAGGCAGCGGCCAGTCCCGTCCTCTCCTGCTCCGAGGAACTTGGCCGGGCTCTGTGGAGCGGGCGCCCTCTGGTGGCCCCGTGGTGACACGCTGCTCTCCGGGATCCGGGCCTTTGGTCTCTTGTCCTGCCAGCGGGCAGGCAGACTTCTCCAGCCTGGGGAGCCCCCGGGGAGGACGCCTGGGCTGGCTGGTGGGGTAGAGACTCAATGCTTGCTAGCCGTTGGAAGGGAGGGAGGGCGGCCCTGGGTCTTTGGGTGGCCTTTCCAGCCTGTGCCTGCCCGGGAGAGCAGAAATGTTGTGGGCTCACGAAGGAGGGACCATCAGTGCGCACGGGGCTCCCGCTCGTGACTGTGTGTAGTGTTTTGGATGGACAGCCAGGCGAGGCCGTGATGAGGACGATGGTCACATCCCCTTTTATGGGCTGCACAGCCCAGGTAGCCCTCCCTCCGGCCAGAGCACTGTATGGAAGGTGAGGGGGAGCTACCACTCTAGCTGGCTCCCTCTGCAACACTGGAGAAAAGCCCAGCCCCGTGCTGCATCTCGTGCACGCACACATGCACACGCACACGCGTGCACGCACACACGCGCGCGCGTGCGCACGCACACACGCGCACGGGCCGACCGTCTTCTATCTCTGCCTGTGGGGTTGCTTCGGGTCCCCAGATGTCTCCTGAGCACCTGCTCGGCCTCCTGACACTTGACACGGTTTGTCGTGTATCTCTCTGACCCTTCGCTGAGGCCCTGGGGGCAGAGGCCACCTCTGTCTGTACTGTTCTCTAGTAGCCACTGGAAGGCTGCAGGAGGGGTGCACGCGGACGCCATGCACTCTGCGGCTGCCTCAGGCCTGTCCTCCCCTTTGCCCCCTGCCATAGAGGTCCCTGGAGGGCCTGCAGGCAGTGGTGTCTGGAACTTGGGAGCCCTCAGCGTGGGTCCCTCCGCATGACTGTCTAGCTGGTACAGCGGATGAGGAGGGGTCTTTGCAAACCTGCTTCACAGAAAAGTAACTGAGGCCGAGAAGCCCCACAGCTTTCTTCAGGGGCCTCGGCCCACATGGAGCTCTGAGGTCTAGAGCCCAGTCTGTTGACCCCAAAGCCAGTGGCATTAACTGCTGAACAGTCCTGGGCTCTGTGTTCTCTGGAAGCTTCGTGCCACCCCAGCCTGGAGGCCTGAAATGGGGCCTCGAGGGCAGGCCCTTATGGGCCACCAGCTGCCTTCTCCTAGCCGTAGCCTTCACTGCTTAGGCCAGGTTAGAGCTCCTCTTAACTGGAACGCCTCCTGCTCCTTCTCCAGGGCCACCCTGCCCCCACCCCGACTGCTGCCGGTGACTCGGCCTTCCATGTAGCCAGGCCTCACCCTGAGCTGGTCCCGGGAGCCTGTCCAGTGAAGGCCTGCTGCTCCTGCCCTGCTAGAGAGGGCTGTTCCAGGGGCGTGAATCAGGCGACCCTGCCCAGGGTGTACGCAGAGGATGGACCAGCTGTGTCCTGCTGGCCGACCGTAAGAGCAGCCCCTGGCGTGTCCCCAGCACCATGCTGGGCCAAGTCCCCCAGGAGCCATGGACAGATGTCCCATCCAGGGGTAGGTGAGTCCAGAAGACAAGACAGGTCGGTCTTGGTAGACTGGTTCCATGCCGGTCCTAATAAGGAACAGCGTGAGCCCGTGGTGGACAGGGCTGCAGGGCCACTGAGGCCTCCCAGGAGAGGGACTGAGGACACTCGCACCAGGCGGCAGGTGGGCTTCGGAGCCGGGGGGAGAGCAGAGGATGTGTGGGTGCACCGGGCCTGTGCTAGGCCACCCACGTGCAGGGCGCAGGTGTCAGCCTGGCTGGTCCTGGACAGGGAGACAGGCCAGGAGAGGGGCTCACCCAAGGCCACGCCGGTATCAAATCAGGCCCAGGCCTGGACATGCCCAGGTGGTGAGAGGTTGGTCAGCTCTCCTAAAAGCCAGACCCTCCTTCCTGAGTCCTGACTTGGTTCAGGAGGATTTCAGACCAAGACTCAGGGCCCTGGCCTTGCCTGTCTGATGTCTCCTTGCCTGGTGCCTGGCATGAGCTGTGACCACATCTAGCCGTCAGCACAGCCCTGTGGGGTCAGGTCATCACCCACATTCAGGAGAGGACACAGGCTCAGGAGGGTGAGGGCTCCAGCCTGGGGCCACCTACCCCATGCCAGCTGGCGGCCTTCTTGCCATGTGTGTCTAGGAACAGGCCTGGGCAGGTGCTCTGAGCTGCCTGAAGTCTCTGGGTGGAGATGGTTCAGGCGGAGGTGCTGCAGTCCTCCCCAACCCCAGGCCCTACGCCCTGTCCCCAGCTGTGGGGTGGGGGCTGTCCTGTCCTCCCAGCCATGACCCCTACACTGGGGGCAGGGCCGGGGCCTCCAGCTTTCTCGACTGTTCTTGGTCTCGCCATGGGTGCAAGGGAAGCTCTGGGTGTGAGGGGTGCATACCAGCTTTCCTGGCAGGAATCCTGGAATCCTGGGTAGATTTAGGAGCCCCTGAGGGGGCCAGGCCATACCCACCCCAGCCCCTCGTCTGCCTGTGGCCTCAGCGTTGGTTCCCACCAGCTCCTGGCTGGCTCACCTTCCTGGCACACGCGCCCCCTCCTGCCAGGTCGGCCCTCCCCACGCCCACCCTCGGCACACGCCCGTCACCGTCCTCCCTCCGGGGCTTGGCCCTGCTGCTCAGCTTCCCAGGCATCCCCAACACACCCACTACTCTCCAGGGCTCTCCCTATTTTCCCAGGGTGCTCCCCAAGTCTGGGCAAGCTCAGCAGTAAGTATGCTGAGCACTGCCCATGTGGTGCCAGGCTGGGCTAGGTGCTGGGGGTCAGGCGTGTGTCCGCTTCCCCCAGCTGCTGGCACAGATGCAGCAGGCTAGGCGGCCTCACAGCAGGAGTTTATTGTCTAGCAGTTCAGAGGCTAGAAGTCCAAGATCAAGGTGTCACTGGGCTAGTACATCCTGAGGTCGTGAGAGAGAAGCTGTTCCAGGGCCTCTCCTGGCTCCTGGGGGTTGCAGGCGATCCTTGGGGGTCCTTGGTCTGTAGTCTCTGGGTTTGTCGTTATGAGTAGGTGTCCC